GCGTCCCTTGGCGAGTCCCCCTGGCACGTCGCGTGGCGCGTCCCCTGGCACATCCCGTGGCACATCCATTGGCACGTTCTGTAGCGCGTCCCCTTGGCACGTCCTACGGTGCGACCCCATGGCACGTCCCCTGGCACGTCGCCTGGCGCGTCCCTTGGGACGTTTCTCGACGCGTCCTCCTGGTATGTCCCCCTGTCAATTAGCTCTGGGGCAGCTACTATGTGTTCAGGCAGCTCGAGCTTCAGATCCAGATCAGTTCGGTCAGGACTCGGATGCAAAGGAGGACTCGATCCACGACGCTATAGAGCACAACCGCGGCATGGCACATCGCAATTCAGCACGGTGCAGCACAGCACAGCCCTCGGCACGGTACATCAAGATCGATACAATCAGCATTGCACTTGCCCGTCACCCAATCAGGTGTCTTTGAAAACGTTGCCATGCGTTACATTTCTATATTCCTTTCCGGGTTCGTGGGTCGATCATGTTCCCGGAAAGGGCCTGGGCCCAGGGTTCTCTTTTAGTTGGTAAACCTAATCCCCCGGTGCCTGCTTGAGGGAGGCCGGCGAATTTTTTCCCTGATAAATAACGAGGTCGAAGGAGGCCGGCGAATTAAAATTTGAGGATGTCTCGAGCGAAACGCTTGTTTTTGAAATCCCGATCGATAAATCACAGGGTGCGGGCCACTTTTTCGTGTGTTGAGGATGTCTCGAGCGAAACGCTTGCTCCGCAGAGTTTGCCGAGGATGTCTCGAGCGAAACGCTTGTTTTGCAGAGCCGACCGCGACGCGGAAAAGCGCCCCGCGCGAAGGAATTTCGATGATGTTTCGACTAATTTGTTTGTTTTTGTACGATTTCCTGGAATTTTGGCAGGATGTCTCGAGCGAAATGCACGACCCCACCCTAGCACGACCATACCCCAGCACGACCACACCCCAGCACGACCAGACCCCAGCACGACCCCACCCCAGCACGACCCCACCCCAGCACGACCATACCCCAGCACGACCACACCCCAGCACGACCCGACCCCAGCACGACCCTACCCCAGCAAGACCACACCCCAGCACGACCACACCCCAGCACGACCTCACCACAGCACGACCACACCCCAGCACGACCACGCCCCAGCACGACCACGCCCCAGCACGACCACCCCAGCACGACCACACCCCCGCACGACCACCCCCAGCACGACCACACCCCAGCACGACCACACCCCAGCACGACCACACCCCAGCACGACCACACCCCAGCACGACCACACCCCAGCACGACCCGATCGATAAATCACAGGGTGCGGAGCACCCCAGCACGAACCCACCCCAGCACGACCCCACCCCAGCACGACCCCACCCCAGCACGACCACGCCCCAGCATGACCACACCCCAGCACGACCACACCCCAGCACGACCACTCCCCAGCACGACCCCACCCCAGCACGACCCCACCCTAGCACGACCACACCCCAGCACGACCACACCCCAGCACGACCCCACCCCAGCACGATCACACCCCAGCACGACCCCACCCCAGCAAGACCACACCCCAGCACGACCGCACCCCAGCACGACCTTACCACAGCACGACCACACCCCAGCACGACCACGCCCCAGCACGACCACGCCCCAGCACGACCACGCCCCAGCACGACCACGCCCCAGCACGACCACGCCCCAGCACGACCCCCCAGCACGACCACCCCCCCAGCACGCACGACCACCCCCCAGCACGACCACACCCCAGCACGACCACTCCCCAGCACGACCACACCGCCTTGGTTGAGTGGTTGCCTGTCGTCGTGGAATGTTTCGTGGGGTGTCTCGTGGAATGTTTCGCGGGGTGTCTCGTGAAATGTTTCGTGAGGTGTCTCGTGGAATGTTTCGTGAGGTGTCTCGTGGGCTGTTTCGTGAGGTGTCTCGTGGGATGTTTCGTGAGGTGTTGCCCAGTTGGGTATCATGAAAACGTGTCCATGCTCCACATGTCTATATCCCTTTCCGGGTTCGTGGGTCCATCATGTTTTTCTCTCTCTCTCTCTCTCTCTCTCTCTCTCTCTCCCTCCATATATCTATTTATGTCGCAGTCCCTCTCTCTCCTCTTCACGCCAAAACCTGTACATCTGAACGAAGGACCGCCCTGGGCTCAGGAGGGGCTCTGGTTTTCGGGCCGGTCCTGCGATTTAGGTCGGGGGAGCTATCCGTGACCGAGGCTAGCCGTGGCCAGACAAGCTCGTAATTCCTTATTCAGCGTTTCTTATGGGAGCAGGATGGCAGTGCCTTTTTTCCATCCGCATGTACACCTATCATGTGTCCCTCTGCGCGTCATTCTCAGTATCTCTCTTTCTCTCTTTCTCTCTCTCTCTCTCTCTTTCTTTCCATTTCCGTCTCCCTCCCTCCACCAGAGTAATTTGTATACATGCATACATACATACATACATACATACATACATACATACATATATATGTATCCGTCGGACGCTGGGGGTTCAGATCCAAGTCAAACGGAGTCGTCCAACTGGTTCGTGTCGTGCGTGTGGACGAGATGAAGATGCGCCAGGGCGAGAGGGATCCCAGCTTTATTTGGGCCTCCCCTCCTCCGCTGGGCGGTGTCTCCCGCGATTGTCCCGCCCTTGTCCCGTGGTTGTCCCGATGGTTGTCCTGTGAGTTGTTTCTTGATTGTCTTGTGGTTGACCCGCGGTTGTCCCGATTATTTTTTCCGATCGTTGTTCCGATTGCTTTCCCGATGATTGTTCCGACGATTGTTCCTATGTTTGTCCCGATTGTTGTCCTGATGGTTGTCCCGATGGTAGTCCCGATGCTTGTTCCGATGGTCTTTCCGATGGTTGTCCCGATGGTTGTTCCAACTGTTGTTTGTCTTGTATTTGTCCCGTGGTCCTCCCGATGGTTGTCAGGTGTTTGTCCCGATGGTTGGTCCGATTGTTGACCTGATGGTTGTCCCGATGAGTGTCGTGATGGTTGTCCCGATCGTTGTCCAACTGGCTGGCATGATGTTTGTCCCGATGGTTGTCGCTATGGAGTTCCCGATGGTTGTCTCGACGGGTGTCCTGATGCTTTTTCCCGGAAAGGGCTCAGGCCCAGGGTTCTCTTTTAGTATGTAAACATAGTCCCCCGTGCCCAACTTGAAGGAGGCCGGCGGATTCTTTCCCTGATAAATATCGAGGTCGAAGGAGGCCGGCGGATTAAAATTTGAGGATGTCTCAGGCGAAACGCTTGTTTTTGAAATCCCGATCGATAAATCACAGGGTGCGGGACACCTCAGCACGACCACACCCCCAGCATGACCACACCCCAGCACGACCACGCCCAGCACGACCACGCCCCAGCACGACCACACCCCAGCACGACCACACCCCAGCACGACCACACCCCAGCACGACCACACCCCAGCACGACCACACCCCAGCACCAGCACGACCACACCCCAGCACGACCCGATCGATAAATCACAGGGTGCGGACCACCCCAGCACGACCACACCCCAGCACGACCCACCCCAGCACGCACGAGGACCACCCAGCACGCACGACACGCCCCAGCACGCCCCAGCACGACCACCCAGCACGACCACCCCAGCACGACCACACCCCAGCACGACCACCCCCAGCACGACCACACCCCAGCACGACCCACACCCCAGCACGACCCCACCCAAGCACGACCCCACCCCAGCACGACCACACCCCAGCACGACCACACCCCCAGCAGCACGACCCACACCCCAGCACGACCACACCCCAGCACGACCTCACCACAGCACGACCACACCCCAGCACGACCACGCCCCAGCACGACCACGCCCCAGCACGACCACGCCCCAGCACGACCACCCCCCAGCACGACCACCCCCCCAGCACGACCACCCCCCACACACCCCCCAGCACGACCACACCCCAGCACGACCACTCCCCAGCACGACCACACCGCCTTGGTTGAGTGGTTGCCTGTCGTCGTGGAATGTTTCGTGGGGTGTCTCGTGGAATGTTTCGCGGGGTGTCTCGTGGAATGTTTCGTGAGGTGTCTCGTGGAATGTTTCGTGAGGTGTCTCGTGGGATGTTTCGTGAAGTGTCTCGTGGGATGTTTCGTGAGGTGTTGCCCAGTTGGGTATCGTGAAAACGTGTCCATGCTCCACATGTCTATATCCCTTTCCGGGTTCGTGGGTCCATCATGTTTTGTTCGATGGTTGTTTGTTCGATGGTTTCTCCGATGGTTGTCTCGATGGTTGTCCCGATGCATGTTTCAGCAGATATAGTGGCATATAGGTGAAGCGTTGCATCGGCATACGCATATATACATTGGCATATACATCTTTAGTTCAGAGTGTGTGAACATATGCATGCACGTCAGCGCAGATGTTGGAACATCGGCATATCACCGAAGTATCGACAGACTATCGTTCGATATACTTATGTCGGTCAGCACACAGACACATTCAACGTAGCGAGCCACTGTTAGACATCTGCATGTATACACGCTTATGCACACAACGTGTCAATCCACATATATATATATGCAGCTCGTTCAACCTTCGTGGTCTATTGACAGGTAGCGGGATCGGCCGATAGATAGACAGATCGATCGGTACAGCGGTCGATTTCGGGGCCACGTATGTACGTTTCTGTAGATCGACAGATAGCGATATCGTAGCTGCACTCCGCAATCCGAAAGGTCCCAGCATTCCCCCGGGCGTCCTTATCACCAAGAGCGTTTCTATTGGTAGATCATAGACGGACATAAGGGTATGGGCGCTGGCCGAAATTTCGACCGGTTGAAATCACATGGGGGATGCCGTGGTCGGTGCTTCTGGGGAACGCGTCGATTTCGGTCAGTATTGGAGCTCCGGAGGGGCCTCAATCCATCGCGTTCCACGCCCCCGCCCCTGCGTTACGCCATCGCTCTCATCACACGCTTTTCCTTCTCACGCACTCTCTCCCCCTCTCGCTCTCTTTGACTCTCCAGCTCTTTATCCCCGCACGTGCCCAGTGCGCTCGTCGCCTACCTGGTTGTCGCCACCCCGCGGCCACTGTCGCCCGACTCCCACTCCTTCGTGGACGTGCTGGAGGCTCTGTCCCGCTGGGGCGCGAGCGGCGATGGACGATCTGAGGGCGGGGCGCCGTCGTCGTTTTCGTCGTCGTCGTTCGCCGCCGCCGCCGCCGTCGCCACCGCCTGCGTCGAAGGGAACGACCACGAAGCGGCGGAGGACCTCCCCGGCGGAGGAGGAGGAAGAGGGGCGGAGAAGGAGCAAAAGGCGAAGGAGAAGAAAGAGGAGGAGGAGGAGGAGGAGGAGGAGGAGGAGGAGGAGGAGGATGGGGAGAGGAGGAAGAGGAAGGGAAAGAGGAAGAAGAGTCGGAGGAGGAGAAAGAGGAGGAGGAGGAGGAGGAGGAGGAGGAGGAGGAGAAGGAAGAAGAGGAGGACGAGGAGGACGAGTACGAGTACGAGGACGACGAAGAATAGTACGGGAATTATGTCTGGGCAGGTCACGCTTGTATCTGTGTCGCTGGAGTTTGGTGATATCCGTAAGGGCTTCGCCCCCTGTCGCCGGCCCCCTCTCTCGGAGAATGCGCTATGCAAGAGCTATGTCATGAGGCCTCGGCGCTGTCGTGAAGCAGTATCGGAACTTCATGCAAGGCCGACTCGAAATGAGCAAAACCACTAGATGACCAGAGGGGTTACCACACCTCGCGATTGGTAAGACGTCGTGACCCTGCCGATCTGCGTGAGAGGCGCCACCGAATTTTAAAACATGTAGCAAGTCCCTAGTGTTTTTGGACCATGACCCTGCGGATCCGCGTGAGGGGTGCCACCGAATTTCAGAAATGTTCAGAATCCCTTGGGTTTTCGGACCCTGACCCCGCCGATCTGCGTGAGGGGTGCCAGTAATTTCAGAAATGTGGCAAATCCCCAGTGTTTTTGGACCCTGACCCCGCCGATCTGCGTGAGGGGTGCCACCGGATTTCAGAAATGTGGCAAATCCCCGGTGTTTTTGGACCCTGAACCCGCCGATCTGCGTGAGGGGTGCCACCGAATGTCAGACATGTGGCAAATCCCATGTGTTTTTGGACCCTGACCCCGCCGATCTGCGTGATGGGGTGTCGCCGAATGAGAAATGTGGCAAATCCCATGTGTTTTTGGACCCTGACCCCGCCGATCTGTGTGAAGGGTGCCAGTAATTTCAGAAATGTGGCAAATCCCTGGTTTTTTTGGATCCAGACCCCGCCGATCTGCGTGAGGGGTGCCACCGAATGTCAGAAATGTGGCAAATCCCATGTGTTTTTGGACCCTGACTCCGCCGATCTGCGTGAGGGGTGTCAATTTTTACCCACCCCAGCAATTCAGAGCACACGCTCAGGGCGTGCTAAACCTGCCCGTTTGGGCCTCCCCCCCCTCGCGCGGTCCATCAACAAGGAACAGTAAGCAGCAAGAAGCAGAACTGTAACAGTGGAAACTGGAAGCTGCAACTGGCACAGGAAACTGCGAACCTTCGGCCTACAGCCTGGTGGCCCCACAAGGGGGCCGGCGGATTCTCTTACATGTGTCGCCGTACGCCAACGTGGCTCGAGCTCAAGCCCAGCATTGATGCAGCTGGACCTGTCTCGGGGTTCGTGATCGCCCTTGCAGCTCTTCTCGGGGCGGCTGTACACACCGTGAACTGGTTCGTGTGCCTCGATTGCCTCGGCAGCCTGGCGGCCTGCCCTTGCGCGATCAGCACCACCGTGAACAGCGTCACCACCGACCAGACACCCCTTGCCGTGCAGGAGTGCGCACCGTGCGCGCCCTGCACCTGCCCGGCTGTGGCGCCGGAGGCTTGCCGCGCCCTGGGCGAGGGCACGCGGACCACGCTGGAGCTGCCCGTGCCCGTCATCCTTGCGGCAGTCAGGGTGCTCGAGGCGCGTGTGCCTGCTGGGGTCTGGCTGCAGTGTGCGAACAGGGCAAGTGAGGCCCGCTGGGAGAGGCGCGGCTACACATCAAGTTCTGATTCGCCTCGGTCGAAGAAAGCGATTTGAGCCTGTATCGAGCCGGCGCGGGGAACGCGCGGGCTCGTGACCTTCGAGGACGACCTGGTTTGGTTCCACGAACGGCTCTTCCTGTGGCCCGTTGGGGCCCCAGATGCTGACGATTACGTGATCTACACTCCCGGTTGAGACCTGTACGTGGGGACCCTGAGCGACTACACCTCGACGGCGATCTTGACGGCTCGCAAGGGCTGCCTCTCCAGCACTACGCAGGTGGTGGCCTTCAATCGGCCTGTGGAGTCGGTCGAGATGGTTGACCTCATCAAGCGTGGCTGGGGCGTGGCCGTGAACCTCACGGGCAACGCTGGCCCGGACTCCAGCGTCGAGGCCGCGATCGGCTGGCGCGGGGGACAGTTGGTGGTGCTGGCCTTCTCGGCGGTGCACGCGCCAACGCTGCAACTGCGAGGCAAGGGGCCGCTGCTGCCGCTAGCTGCTGCCGGCCCGGCACCGCCTGGCCCTGGTCCAGTGCCCGTCGCCGCGGCGGGTCCCGATGACGTTGCCACGGGGCCGGGCGTGCGAGGGGATGCTGCTGCGGATGGCGCCGCCCTCGGTGGCACTGGCACGCCCCTGGGCAAGGGGGAGGCGGGCGGCTTTCCGTGGATGAGCAGCGACCTGGCGCAAACCGAGGGGGACTTCGCTTTCGGTGCGGAGGTGGTCCTTGGCGGAGGCAGCCGGCGTCTGTGCCGCTTTGGCGTGGTGACGGATCGCTTAGGTTACCGCCACCCCGTGGAGCTGGTCGAGCTGGCGCGCTTGGACGTGCGGCAGGAGGTTGGGCTGGGCGGCGCCGGGTGTCTCTTGGGCTGGGTGGCGCCGGGGGTCTCCGCGGTCGGCCGGGCGGCTCTGGTCTCGAGGGGCGCCTCTTGGGAGAGGCGTCTCGTGGCCCGGCGTTCACGGCGGCAGCCGCGCCCGCCGCTGGGGGGACAGGAGCTCCTTTGGCGGCCGCCCCTGTCCCTGAGGGAGGAGACGACTTCCGCGCATGCTGGATCGAGCTGGGGTTGGTTACAAGCAGTGTCGCAAGGTGTTGCGCGAGGCGACCCAGGAAAACGTCTAGTCTGCGGGTCTCAGCGGCCCCCCCTGTGTGCCTGGCCGTTTGCAGGAAAGAAGTTCCACAAGCGCGGGGGTGACCCCAAGGCGTGGTTCCAGGAGAGGGCGCGCGAGGTGGGCATCGGCAGGAATGACAGGGCCTGGCATGAGGTGGAGTGCCTCACGGAGTGTTCTGGCAGACTGGCAGTTTCGACCAGTCGAACGTTGGGGCCATCGCGGCGCTGGAGGTGGACTCTCGGGGGCTGCTGCAGTACGCGGGGCCCTGCGATAATGGTGCTGACAATGCCGACTGGCGGGCGGCGAAGCTCTTCGGCGCTGCCACCTCGGCCATGGACTTCGCCCCCGAGGAAATGCGCGCGCGCCGAATGGACTGGGCGGAGCTCGAGAGCCTGCGCGCCAAGGCCCGCCGTCCTGGCGCGAGCTCGGGGCCCGGCGCCTGCCGCCCCAGGGCGATGGGATGGCGGAGCCGACGGCGTCAAGGGTAGGGGTGGAGGCAAGGGCGGTCGCGTGGCCGAGGGCCGCGGCCGGCGACCCGATGCCATGCCGCGAGGGTGATTTTGCCCGAACGTCACCTGCAGACCCGCTGGCAAACATGGGGCTTGCGCCACCCACTACCTCCAGTAGCCGACAAGCGACGTGATCGATGTGGCTTTGCCCGCGGACGTCGCAGGTGTCAGGGGGGGGGAGCGGCTGCGCCGAGACCCCCACGCGGCCATCGGATGCGCGGATTGGCGCGCCGGCCACGGGCGATGGGGATCTCGCCGGCCATCGGGAAGACGGCGTGGGGCCTAGAATCCGATTTGCGGCCGTGCGTAGACTGCGCACAACCGCAAATTTCTGGCCATGGCGCCAGACCTTGTCAGACGTCATCGTCATCACGATGCAGCCAGGCAGTGCCAGACCTCATCGCGGCGTCCCTGGCAGCGTTTGCTTTCGCAGTGCCTTCGAAGTGCCATTCGGGGCCCTCGAGTTCAATCGGCAGAATTCCGCGGTTGCCCGCTGGCGCGAGAAGTCTTTCGAGTGGCGCCCCGCCGATCGTTGATGCGGCGCGGCAGCGCCGGCTTGCGCGATTGCGTTGGGCCCCCGCGGGCGCCCCTGAAGCCGCGCGCCAAAGGTCACTGTAGCCTAGGGCTACTCCTACGTGCAGTCGAGTAATGGAGGCGGCGCTCCGCGGGCGCGACGTTGACGGCGTCGTCGGAAGGGGGCGATGTGTTGGCCGAGCTTTTCAAGGGGCGCTCCACGTATGTGCCCGCGCCTTCGCGCAGTGTCGGGTCCTGCGAGTATGCGAAGGCATCGTTCCCGAGCGATGTGCACGGCGCTCCTTCGCTGATCTCCGCGCTGCCTCCAGAGGCGCGCGCGCGCAGCTCCAGGATTTCGACAGACATGAGGCCCGGCCTACGGGCGAGCCGGATCAGTGGATGCAGCTCGGCCTCGCGGCGCTTGAACGAGCGCTCCCGTCGCGCGTCGAATCATTTTCCGCCGCGCAGAAGGGCGACGAGCTCGGGTTCATCGTCGACAGCCGCCGACCGCACCAGCTGTTCCACAGCCCGCCAGGGGCGCATCTTTGCAGCGGTGAGGGCCCGTCGAAGATCGAGGCGGGCGGCCCCGAGGTTCTCATGGCGGGGCTGCCCGCGCGCCTCGGCGTCGGCGACGTCGCCGCCTGCTCTCGCGGGGCGAGGCTGGTGGCGACCCGCGGCGGCGGCGTCCGCCGCGACTTCTGCTGGCCCCCGCTCGCGGCCAAGTACGCGGGCATCCGCGAGATCGATGGTGGGGCGATCGGGTCGGGCGTGAAGATCTGGCCCGCGCGTGCCAGCCCCCTGGCGGGTTTCGCCTGGCCCTGGCGCTTTGCTCAGGTAGCGAACGCCTCGCGGCTGAGACGGCAGCTCGCCCCTCGGGGCACGCCCTCCGATCGGGGGCCATCCTTGGTGCTGGGAGGGCGGCGGCGCGCGGAAGGCCGCGCGCTGCGCGTGCGTTGACGACGCCAGGTTGCTGTCTTTCGACGGTGACCTGGTCGGTCGGGCCCTCGGCGAAGCTCGCCGAGATCTCGGCAGGGGCGGCCTCCACCCTCGCGGGGTGGAGGCCCTCCTTGGCTGGCTCCTCGGCGGCGACGCGCAGTCGGCCCGTTCGGGCGGCGAGCACTTTGGTTAGGTCAGAAATGGGGTGCGCGGTCTCTTCCGTCTCAGAAGGGTGTCTGGGTGGCAAGTCGAGGCCGTCCTTGGACATGCTGCGTCCTTGTGCCTCGTGGGGCGTGGGCTCCTGTGCCTCCTCCAGGCCGCGTGCTGCTTCGCGCGGGGGTCCAGGGGTCTTATTCCAAGTGCCAGTCGCTTTTGGGGCTCGGCGAGGCAGGGGCTCGCCGTTCCCGTGGGCGCCACCGATCGCTGGAGGTGCCCTCGGACCCCCGCAGCCTAGGCCAGCGACGCGAGCCCCCATTGCTCCGGCGTGGCCCAGGCACAGTGGGACTTCAAGTCTGCGGAGGCAGTCGGGCGCGCCGGATCCCGGCTGATTCAAGCTGCTCGGCGGCGCCCGCGCTCGGGGGCGCGCTTGCGAGGTCGCGGGCGTCGAGCTGGGCCCCGAGGAGGGGCAATGCGGCGCGCGACCTCTTGGTCCGCCCCATCGGGCTCGACGGGGAGGCGGTGGACATCCCATAGTCCGACTTTGGAGTTGCAATGTTCCATGGGGTGCCCAGTTCTCTACTCGGGAAGGGTCGCTGGCGCGCTGTTCTCGCTGGCCGCTGGCTCTTTCCTCTAGGCAGTTTGCCGTTTGGCCGGGGCGGCGGTCGAGGCCGGAGCCCGTGCCTCGCGCGTCCGTGCCGTGCAAATCGTTTGCGCATGCCTCTCGGGCAGAAATTTGGCCATCGTTTCCTGCTTTGCTCCGGCGGGGTCGCGGGATTGCAGGGTGCCCAGACAGCTGAGGCGTCAGTTTGGTATGTCTGGCGTTTCCTTCGGGTTTTCTTGGGCCGTCTCAGGGCATTGTTGTGTTCTCTTGGGGGCCTCTTCGGCCATCGGGGGGTGCCGCGGGCGTGTGCCTGGGGGGCCCTGGGGCGGGGGGGATGACGGTGACGTGTTAGGCTCTTCCTCTTGATTTCAGAGGTGCAAAGAATGTCCGGGAAGAAACATGCATGCTCTTATGCCCCCTTCTCCGATGGAGTATCGTCGCCACTTATATGTTTAAGCCGCTTTGCCCGGGACAAGCTCGCCATTCTGAAAATTGGGCGCACTTTTCGCGCAGATCGCGGCTTGGAGTGCTCTTGGGCCGTCTTGGAGGCCTCTTTGGCCCTCTTGGCGCTTCTTTGGGTCCTCCTGGATCTCCTGGAAGCTCTTATGCACCGGGGGTCCAGGCCTTTAAGAAACCTTCAGCCCCCTTACTTTTAAGGGCTGCAGGGTTGCATGAGCCCTGGGGCACTTCACTACGTGCTGAAGGCACGATGGCGGGTATTAGTATGTGTGCATAGGCATATAGAATTATATGTACATATACACATCCATATATTGGTATCGGCGTACATGTATTGTTGTGTACATGCATGGGTATATGTATATATGCGTGTACGTATATGTGTGGATGTGTATCTGTGTATGCAGATGAAGGTGTGCATGTATATGTGTATGTATGTATGTATATATATGTGTGTACTTGTATGCGTATATACGTCTTCATCTGCACATGTACATGTGTGTATACATATATATATATATATATATATCGCTGCGTATGCCAATTAGCCTGCGTGTAGGTATTGGCTTTTGTATGTACGCACATGTGTGCATGATTTTGTTTACGTGCAGATATGTCAACATGCACACTCATATACATAAGTAGTTATGGTTTGAAGCGGTTGTGTTTATGTATGTTATAGTGCATATCGAGATTTATATGGTCGTGCGAATGTATATGCATACGGGTGAATGTACATGCATATGGCCTGTGAATGTATGTGTATATGTGCATTCACATGTAAGCGCACATGTATACGTATATGTTTATGTAGTTGTATAGGTTTAGGTACATGTATCTGTGTATGTGCATGTATGTGTATACGGATATGGATATGTGTATGCATTTGCAAGCGCGTACGAATAGCAATATGTGCATGCGAATGTACATGCAAATGTATATGTACATGTGTGTTTCTGTGTAGAGGAATATACATGTACATGTGTGCTTGTCTATGAACATACATGTACATGTTTATGCATATATGGCGTATATATGTGAAAATATACACGTATACAACTATTACTTCGCGCACACACGCTCGCGCGCGTCCGCGCAGCAGCAGGACGGGCGCACGCCGGTAGAGGGAAACAATTTCCGAACACCCCTCAAAAAAAACTTCAGAGTTGGCACGCGCGAAGGAGGCTGCGGTCGAAGTGCAGCTCATCAGACCCACTGCCCATTTAATCATTGGGGGGAGGGGGAAGCGTTGACAGGTGAATGTGACATGAGTGTTCGCAATTTTTTCCGAGGCCTGGCCCCCGCACAATCTTTTTGTGGCAGCGGGCCGTTGGCGGCAGTGAATTGGAGAGGCAAGGCGGGAAGCATGGAGCGTTATCAAATTTCGTGCGCCTCGAACCGGTCCGCTAGGAATCCCACACGCACATACACAGTTCGCGAGGGATGCAGTCATTGTTTCAGTCTGCTGAGACACAGCCGGCGGACGGGACGCATCGGGCGAGCCGCGCGTGCGTTTGGCATTCAAAGGCCATTCTATGGGAATGAATCCGCCATGCGGAGTTTAGGTGGTTTATATAATTTTCACGTCGCTGCAAGTGTTGTCGCAAGATGACTAAGATGCTATTCAGCATTCACACGCTCACAGGCTCGCATACACTGAAAGTTGGGGTGCCACGAAGTCAGTCGGAATGTGAAGGGACGTGTGGCCCATCAGATCGAAGATCATCGCGATCTGCATGGCGGGCTGGTGCAGAGGAGGAGGGCACGTGAAATAACCGGCGATTTAGATGGCAGAAGGAAGTGCAATGTTGAGCAGCTCCGGCTGCAACTGTTGTGCTATCATCATCGTGGCAAGTGCACTGGCAGCTACACTGTCAGTGGCTGCCCATCGGCATCTCTGCCGAAGGGGAGGCACGGAAGAGGGACCCTTTTCTCCCCCCGCAGGCTTGCATTGGCATCTGGGAGTTTGTGCTCGTGGCATCTGTTGCCCTCCAGGCGTGCGTATGGCTATGACGTAGCATTTTGGCGGTGTGTATGTGTGCAGCAGGCACACCTTTCGAATGAACGGATTTGTGCATGTGTGCACGTGGTCAATCAGTTGTGGCCACTTGCACATTGTATCCGATGTAGAATGTTAGTCTGGTGGGTTACATGCTGTACCGCAAGCGTGCGTTGGAATGCACTTGTGAAAGACAGCTTAGTTGCAGAGGTTACTATGGCACTCGCTGCTAGCGTTGTTCTTTGTAGCATCGTTTGCAGCTTCTTACCAACCCTGGTGCATTGACTTACCAGCTTCGCTCTCTGATTTATTTCATGGCGCTGTCGATAGTGTTTGTGTACCAATACCAATGGCAGTGGTATCGAATGTGCTGCCTTCTGGACGCTTGTGTTAGTGTCGGCCGTCATGATTGATCCCCCTCGAGGCTCCCTAGGGCCTACATGGGCCTTCTAGGCCATCGTGGGCCGTCATCGAACCCTTGTGGCCCATCTTGGAGGGCATCAGGGACAGTATTTGGCCGACTTGGATGCTATCTTGGGTAGCCTTGGCCTTCTTCAAGGTGGGCATTGTGCAGAGTCTGGTTGGAAGCCTGTTTTTCCAGGAGGCTGGCGCATCGGGCCAGAAACCACCCGGAATTCATTGGAATCGCCAAAAAGCGCGTCAGCACCTCTCCGCAGGCTACCGACGCGTCGGATCGACGACGCCTGCGGCGAGTCACCGCCGCCTCCTGCCTTTCTGGATCTACCGATGTGGCCAAAGCTGGGCCAAGCCATTGGACCATGTGTTCCTTCATCCGTTGTGGAAGCCCTTTGGGGAACACCTGGGGAAGTAAGAGAGAGGAAGAGGGGATGGAGGAGAAGGAGTAGGAGGAGAGGAGGTGGAGAAAGCGGAGGCCTCTCGTGGCCTCCCTGGAGCTTCCTGGGGGGCTCCTGCGGGCCTCTAAGGGGCCTCTAGAGGGGCCCCTCTGAGGAGCCTCTACAGGGGCCTTTTGGCCTTCGGATGCCGCCTCGGGTGCTTCTCTGCTGGGCGTCTTCGGACCCTCTTTGGGTGCGGTCCAGGTCTGGCCAGGCTTCTTGACGGGACGACCGCCCACAAGACAAGTAACTGCTTGCATGCTGCCAGCTGCGGCTTGGCTTGAGCTTGCGCCCTGCCACTAGCTCCTTGCGGGCGTCCGCGGTGGGACTCGTCAGCGTGGCCTGCATCATTGATCGCGTGACTCAGCCCCGGCCTGCTGCTGCCATTCGAGTCTGGCGTGCGCAATGCCCCAAGCAAGTCGTTGATGTGAAAAGCGCTGGGCAGTCTATCCTCGGGTTCGCCGATCGGCGCGGTGGCCTTTGGGAATAATAGCTCCCCTACGTACAAGGCAACAAGCGTAGGGCCACAGCTGGATACGGCTATTATTATGTGCTCTGCGTGGCGGGTAAGAGAGCGAACGGCAAGTGCTGAAGTATGTTTCGGCATTTGCAGTGTTCTCGAATCACACAGCGTGTGCGTGATGAGGGCGACTTCAAACTGGTGGTCATGGCATATGGGCAATCGTGCAGCAACACCGCTCGCCCTACTCCGCGCAACTAAGCCCAGTTCGAACCAATGCAACGCGATGCAACTCTAGATAACTCAGTTGACGGTAACGCACATCAGATGTGCACCACAATAAGACAACGATGCATAGCCGTAGCCACATCAACATGACTGAAAAATAACATGCTATTAACTGAGCGTGTCCAAAACAGAGCTCAGCAATTCAATCAATGCCAACACCATGATTTCACAGCACAGCTAAGCATGTAAACGCAGCGTGCAGCAATGCACTGCAGAAGCAGCGCACACAAGTCAAACACGGACACATTGAAATGACAATCCTACCACACTAATAGCAAATCAACGCGATGCAGAGGAAAGCAGTACACAGCAGAGCAGAGCCGCGCAGCGCAACGCTGCGCAAGGCCGACCGAGGCGGCACGAAGCGGAGCAGAGCCGAGCAACCTCACGGTACAGCTTATCAGTTCTTGTTTTGTGCAACGCAGCGTTAAAATGAGGTTGCGCGAAGGTCAGAAACCGTGTGCTGTCATGCAGTCGTGCTTTTCCGTGTTTCTACCTTCGCCTTCGCGGCTGCTCCGACCGAGGCGGCGCGTGCGCCAGGTTCGCGACCAAACCAATGCCTTGTCATGCTTGTTTTTGGGCGCACGGCTCTGCAAACGCTGGGTTTCTCAGTGCCCCCATGAGGATCACAGGGATTCTCCAGCTCGGTCACAAGGAACAGCTGCCTACCTCGGTGAAGGGTTCCCGTCAGGGTCACAGGGATTCTTCCAGCTTCTCTCCCCCTCAGTGCGTCTGCAGTTGCGGCTGCCGCCTCGGGACTGATGCTACTCGTTGCCAGCCGCCTCCCAGCAGGTATCGCTGTGCCTCTCCACGTGGCGGGTGTACCGCGGCCTCCGCAAGGCCAGGGCCGGGGACGCTCGGGAGCCGCTGCGGACCCCCAGAGTGAAGGCCAGGATGCGATTCAGCGTGACCCGATCTGGTTCTATGACGTCGTTCATGATGTAGCGGTATCGCACTCGGGTGCTTGTATGCACAGCTTCTCCCCCCCTCCCCCCAGCATCACACCAAGCGTGGAAGAGCAGTAAAACAGAGAGCGAATTTGAGACACTTCAGGCACCCAGGCCAAACCCTGGCTCGCCAAATCCCAAGTTTCGGAAGACAAGCCCAACATGTATCGTTTCAAGGCGAACCATGCAGGCGTTTGTGCCTAACGTGTGGATGTTTGTGTGCCGTCTGATCGCCCTGCGAGTTGCGCACAGCCGCATGCTTTGGACTGAGGACGAGCCCCACCTGGGTTAAGTTGAGTTTACTCTTTCCGAGCTTGGTCTTGACCTCGCCCACCGGAGCACTTGGGCCCGATCCTGGAAGGTCCCAGCGTGCCGGAGCCACGCGCGGGATCGCTGGGGCCCCAGCTGGCTTCCCGGAGTGCGGGGCCCCACATCCGCCACCCGAGCCCGCGGTCGGCAGGTCTGCCATCGAGTGGCAGCCAGTCGCTGCCCTGCGCAGTTCTGCTCGTGCACCGTGCCGGTGCTGCGCTCGATCTCCTGGACCGCCCCCTGTGTGCGCCAGCTGTCGGGGGCGGCCTCTCGGGATGCGCCGCCGCAGCCCGACCAGACCACTGGGGTCACCCAGATGGGCTGGGAGAGAGCGCAGTCCTGCCGAGGCATGGCCACGATCGGCGCAGCAAAGCGGCGCCAGAGGGGGCGCGCACGGGCGGCCCTGATTGCGTAGGCGCATATGCATCTCATATATTTGTCCGCTGAGCTCATCTGCCGTTGAGGCTTGCGGTGCCTCCTCATCAGCAAAAGAAGACAGTGTGTATGGATCGACCTTGAGCGGCGTTTGGCGAGGTCCGCAAGTGTCCGTATTTTCTGAGGGAGAGGGCTTTGCCGCTGCTGTCCACATGTTGCGCTGGATCTGCAAAAGCACGCCTTGTGAACTTACATATGGCACCCTGGTGTGTAGATGCGGACCTGGCTGGTTCGGCCTTCCAATATACTCGTTGCGTAGGGCATGGGATTCGATGCACCGCCCTGAATAAATCTGGGGCAGAGGGAAGCTTTACCGTGTACGTGGGGCGCAGGCGGCGCCGAGCGGGCATTGAGGCCGCTCCCCCCCAGGCGCCGAGCGGTAGTCTTCTTTCGTCCCGCCTTCATCCTCCGCGGCCGGCCGCCTTGGACATCTGCTTCCTCTTGCTGTCACGATAGCCGAGGGTGTCCGCGGGCTGGTTGACACACAATGGCCCACCGACAAGCAAGCAATGGATGGCCACCTCTTGCACCAGGGATCCCCATAGACAGGGCGTTGGCGTTCGCACAGGGCTTCCCCCAGCGTGGGATGGCGGCCATCGGGGTGCGATGGGCGCGCAGTGCTGAACTGGCCGCCCGCATCTGGTCTTCCCTCTTCCCTCTTCTTCGTTTGCGCCTTTCGGGCCCTCTTGGAGGCCCTCGTCGCCGCGGTCGGGTTCACCTCGACATGCTGGTCAGAGTGCGCCCCAGGAAATGTTCGGGGAGTGGCGATATCGGTGTTTTGTTGACCCCCCACGTTCGAGCGCAATTGTGGTACGCCCCATCAGCTCTTGCCTGGCTTGCGACTTCGTAGCGCCGCGCTGGCACGAAGTGAAGGTCGCTTGTTTTTACTTCGATGTTTGACGGGCCCATGCCCTAGAAGCGATGCGGGAGCAGTCCTTACATTATCGAGGGGCGCACCCCAGCAATCCCAGACGCTTGGCAGCACCGATGGGAGGCGATGTCTTATTTGGGCTGTCCGTGGGGAGGGCGCTTCGCTGGACTGACTCCCAATGGGCCCGATACACTTGCGGCACCCGTGCTTTTGGCAGCACTCCGCTGGCCTCCGAGAGCTCAGGAAGTGGCGACAGTCCTGCGCTTGGCAGCGTCCCGTGCGGAGGTCCGGACCTGTTCGGGTCCGCGTGAAGGGCCGGATCCCAGCCCAGGGAGTTGCAACAAGTTGGCGAAGTCAAGTCTGCCGGGTGTTGCCAAATTGTGTCCCTGGCCCAAGGTGCCCACAGGGTATCCTGGCAGGTGTTGATGGCCTCCACGTCATTCCTCGGCCCAGAGGGCCCCATGGGGCCCCAAAATGGCACGAAGGGATGGGGCACCCTGGCGCAGTGCGTGCCCCTCTGGCAACACCCGACTGGGCCCGCGAGATGGGCAATTCCGTTGGGTGTGCCTGAGGCCCAGGAACTGGCGACCGATCTGTCTCCGACAGCACCGAGGGAGGCGATGTCCCGTTTGAGCCCGCACCACGGGCAGCTCCACAGGACCCTCTGCAGCAGCGGCGCGGAGTTGGCAGCAATGGCGTGTGAGGCGGCACCCTGGCTGCATAGATCCCGCCTGGATCCGCATTGCTTGCTAGCACCTCTGCTGGACTCTTGCCAGGAACGTAGGAAGTGGCAGCAATCAAGTCCTCGCTTTGTAGCACTAATGGGACCCGTATGGATCCGCCCAGTCGCGTCTTTTCTGCTGGAGTTCCCAGGGGCGCAGGATACGGATACGGTTCTAACGTTTGGATAGCATCCAGGGGAGCGAGGTCCTATGTCGCAGCATTCCGCTGAACCCCAAGTGGCCCAGCAAGTGCTGACTTGTTGTACGTTTGGTGGCCGCCAGGAGGGGCTCAAAATCCCGTCGAGGCCCTCGTGCCGAGGCCGGCGAGCATTCCGTCCTTGAGACCCCTGTGGCTGGGCTGACGCCGTCGCGCACCCTTTCCTTCCTCCTTGCTGTTCCTTCCTTGCCCGACTGACTGACATGCAGCTGGATGTACATGACGGGGCCGGCCCTTGGCGAGGGCTGGGTACACTTGTGGCCGCATGTCGATCCAGCTCTCGGCCCTCGTGTAACTGGGTACGCTGGCTCTCCAAATGTGAACCCAGCGCATTGCCTCCGAATCTTCTACATGTGAATCCGGCTATGTGTGTATGTGAGTGTGTGTGTGTGTGTGTATGTGAGTGTGTGTGTGTGTGCGTGCGTTCCAGCTCCCTGGAAGACGTCCATTGGCAGGACCCCCTGCTTTTCCTGCCTCATCTATTCCTCCCCTCTTTCTCCTCCATCTCCCACCCCCTTCTCCTCCTCTCCCTCATCCCCAACATGCAGAACTGACGCGTCGGTGACCCGCCAGCTCTCACAATTGTGGCGGCAGTGCGAGTTGTTTCGCAATGCCAGCTGATGTGTGATCTGAGGGAGGCTTTTCGATAGCCTCGCTGCTCGCTGGAAGCAGATCTGTATTCTCCATCTCCGCACTTATCCCCACCCTGTGCCATGCGCCCGGTGCAGGGTGCGGGGGGGGGGGGGGGCGGCGGCGGCCGAAAATGGCGGGCCCTTCTCCTCCCAGAGGTGGGGCTCTACCCGCCCGACAGCGACCCGACCAAGGTCGGCGCCAGTCGGGACGTGTCGGTGTTGGAAGTTGTCTGCGAGGCTGCTGCCTTTTTGGTTTGCTTTTCTCTCTTTTCCCGCGTCCTTCTTCGCTTCTGTGCCTCAACTAATTCGTGGCGCGTCCCGCCCGTAGCCCCATCGGCGCCTGCACCAACTTCGATTCTCTTGCGCCCGCTGGCTATAAAACAGTTGTTGAATTTTCGCTTCTGAAGAAAATTTATTGTTGATCCCCCCCCACCGGTGCGTACTGTTTTTTCTCCATCGAAGTGTGCCCCTCGACGCTCGCACCCTGTTTTTTGACAGGGAAAGTCTTGATGCTCAAACTGGGCCCCTGGCCCCCGGGTTACAACAACAACAACAACAACAACAACAACAACAACAACAACAATCATTTTACCCGAACGCGTGGTGTTCTCCCCAGTGCCAGGGTTTTCATACGACACCAGGCAATACCCCCACTTCGTGGGGGGGCATTACAAGCTCTACCAAATATCCAAACGACTCTTCGCGACCACCCAAACCCAGCTTCCCGCCCTATGACGTTGGGACACTTCACTTCGTGGCGTGCGGACGACCGTGGCTACTACACTGGCGTAGGGTACACACCCACAGAACTTGTCCCGCATGGCATTATTTGACAGGGATGGTGGCCCTGGCAGGTGCGCCACCGTTGTCGCAGAAGTTCGAAAAAGTTGCTCGCAAAAGCCCGTTTGACAGAAATGTTTAAAAAGTGTTGGTTTTCCTACGAATCCGCAAGAGCGCGCGGGATGAGATTTTGACATTTTTTTGTTGAAAAACCATTGGTTTTTTGATGTTTTTATGTTAAAATCGTTCCGAACACTAAGCTTTTGGAAGGATTTCGTCTTGCGCGCGCGAATGTCCACTTTACCTTATTTTTTGCAAGGGATTCTTGAAATTTGATTATATTAGAACAAGAAATGTCATTTTATAGTGTTTTTTGCAAGGGAAAACGGATTACAACAAAACAACCGGATCTTGATCACCTCGAATTACCTGAGGCTTCCTCACGAAAATGATGAAAACGTGGCTGCGGCCTAGGCGCGGCGGGGGGGGCGCGCACCAGGGGGCCCAACAATAATTATTCTTTAGAATTAATAATGTTCAACGGCTCCCGCCTGAGACTTCCTTACAATTTAGCCAGGACCCCCGCTCCCGCCCGAGACTTCTTCGCATTTTATTTTGGAATCGCGCTCTCGCTTGGGACCTCCTTACAATTATTCAGGAATCGCTCTCCCGGCGCTCTGGAGTCGCGCTCTCGCTGGAGACTTGCTTGCAACTTACTGAAGAATGGCCTTGCGTTGGCATTTCGTGCAATTTGCCCAAGCACCGCTCTCCTGACACCCAGGCACCCAGGAGTCGCGCCCGTTGTGGTCCCATTGCGTGCTCTTCGTGGCCCCGCTGTCGCCATTTGTGTCCCCCTCACTGTCCTACGTGGCCCAGTTGCTACCCTCAGTGGCCCCATAGTTGCCTCCTGTGGCCCCGCATTATCTGCACTTCGTGGCCCCCGCTCGTTCGCGCTCTTCGTGGCCCATACGCATTCCCTTAGTGTCCCCGCTGTCGCCCTTCGTGGCCTACTTCGTGCCCTTCGTGACCCTGCTGTCGTTCTCTCTCGCTCTCGCTTTCGCTCGTCGTCGCCGTCGTCGTCGTCGCCGTCGTCTTCGACGACGTCGTCGTCGTCGTCGTCGTCGTCGTGGTCGGTCCCCTGTCCGTCCCTCTTGGGGTCGGGTCGACGGTCCGCGGCCGCCCCGCCGATCAGCGCTGCCGCTGGCCGGGCCGACGGTCCGCGGCCGCCCCGCCGCTTGCCGGGGCCCGGCCTGCAGGGAAGAACGGTTTACCCCCCAAAAAGGGTTCGATCGAAGACTGAAGACGAAGAGGGCGGGTATCGAGGGTTTGGGAAATACGCGTTATTGGACACTCGAGCATATAAGGGCGAACAGTCTTACAATTATTGTTGTTTTTGTTTTTGTTGGTATTGTTTCTGCTGTCGTTGTTGGTGTTGTTTTTGTTGTTGCTGCTGCCTTTGTTATTTCGACGAACGGTTCTATTAATAATCATGATACACATAAAGTCAATACGAGACAGCACGCAGTATTATGACTAAGGGGTGCCGTCATGCTCAGACAGGAAGATTACCAATTATAGTACCACCACCACTGCTACGAATACGACGGATTCGAGTTATACAAATCATTCTAACCTCTCTACCTGGACTGACAATAATATTGCCACATTCGCTATACGCGTGCTAAGCAGACCACTAACAGTACGAGTGAGAGGGGTGCTCATGCTATCAACAATCTTAAGCAATCACGATGCTGTTGTATACGGAAACCAGCGAAACCTACAGAAGAAGAGCTAGTGCCGCGAAGCATCCCATCCATACTTTTACAGCTTGCACTACGGTCAGCAAGACTATCACACACACAGCATGGATTATATCTACACATCTGAAGCAGAGGAAGCGGTATCCACATAAGCTTTCGGAGCTCGGCGTGGATTTCTTGCATCGGTGGTGGGGCCCCCTTGGCGGCGCCTCTGGCGCCGCGCCGGGCGTGCTTCGCGTGCCCGGGGGGGGGGGTGGAGACGGCTCTCCCCAGGGCAGTCGCGGGCCGATTGATGTGTGACCACGGCCGTGGTGCCGATGATGGCGCATGGCGAGAATCGGTGGGGCAGGCATTTTCGCTCCGCCCTGATCGGATGCCCTATCCATTCTGGGAGTCGGGAGACGCAGAGAGGGATGGAAGAACAGCTGGAGGTCCGAGGGGAGGAGGGGCGCCGAGAGGCAGAGGAGCATGAAGACGGAGAGAGGGAGAGGCAGAGGGGGCGGGGAACAGAGAGGAGGCTACGTGATGTGGAAGAGAACGGGGAAATGGAGTGCTGCGGGGGAGGCCACTGCCTCCATTTTTTTTTCGCCGCAGCGAATGTGTGGCAGGCGGAGGACGTGGAGCTGCTCTCCAATTGGGAGCCTCCCTGTATGGCGCACGACCCGGCGCACGACAGCATTGAATTAGCTAGCACGGGGCTTAGCGGCGGCGAAGGGGGGGGGCGAATCGGAGGAAGGATTCGTGAACATTTTTCGGGACGTCGGAACGAACAGCAGACACGATTTTGCCTTGCGTGGCAATCGTTCGTGCTTCAGCGGCAAAATGAGCGACGTGCCCTCGAGAACTCATATGCGCGAAGCGTAGACCCCATGCCAGTGGGCCCTATCCCCTACAGTAAGCGCCTCTCCCCAGGGTCCTCTCGGGTGGCTCCAAAAGCCTTAGAGATGGCCCTCGTGCTTTTCAGGACATCCTAGGAGGGCTCCCAAGCGACTCCAGGAGAGCCCATGAGTGCCCAAGAGGTTCCAAGATGGCCCCAGGATTGCCCCAACAGCCACGTGAGCGCTCCAAGGGGACCCTCAGAATGTGCAAATTAGTCAAGACCAAAGGTTTCCTGATGATTTGGTTTTTGGAGATTCCGCGTTCATACTTCGGAGGAGCCCAAAGAGGGCATCTCGACGGGACCCAAGAGGGTCCCTAGATGGTCTCCAAGTGGCCCAGGACTGCCCCAACAGGGCCATCGGATGAGCCCAAGACGACCTAGGAGGGCCACAAGATACCACAATGCGGCCAGACGATAGCTCCAGGCAGTCCAAGATCGCCTCAAGATAGCCCAGATGAGGCCACACGACAGCGCCTCAAATGTCCCATGCCGGCTCTGTAAAGTGACCTGCTCTTTCCCACTTGCTGACCCCCATTATTCCTTTCTACTCCTGCCTCATCAGTCATTCTCATCTTTCTTCCTCTTCCATCTCATCGTTACTCTCACCGTCTTCATCTTCGTCCTCATCCATTCCCCCTCCCCACTCCCCTTTCTTCCATGGGCTCGAATTAAATTGTGTTTTGGCTGATTTTGTGGACTGTGTTCGTTTTGGTGTCGTTTCGCAGCAAAGGCAGAACGAGGACAGAACGAAGGATAACGAAAACAAAACGAACACGACAAACACCGTTTAGCTCGAGCCCTGTCTCTTCCTAACCCTAATGTGTCCATTCCTACCTATTCTGCTTGCCTTCCTCTTTCCTCCTCTTCCTCCCTCGTCCCTCATCCCTGCTTCCCTCTCGCTTTCCCGTTCCCCGCCTCCGCCTTCCATTCCATCCCTCCCCTCTTCCCCCACTCATGGCTGATGGAGAGCGCTTGCAGCTTACACACGGTCGGACCGAGGTATACGATCGAGGTCGGTTCGGGGAGGGCACCCTAGTGTTCTTCCTGTTTGTTGGGTGCTCTTGTGCATCATGGGGGAGGGTACTCTCGACTGTTCCTCAGTTTGGCAGTCGGAGGGACCCGCGGATGCTGAAAGCAATGACACCGTCCCTCTCTACGCTATATGATGGCCTTCGGCCCATCCCGCCACCCTGCCTGGGTTGTGGGTGAGAGTTCTCAGGGATGCTTCTTCGGGTCTCTTCAGGGCGCTCTCGGGTGCCTCCTGGGAGCAGTTTGGGGGCCTCTTGGGAGCCTCTCCGGAGCCCCTCGGGGCCTCTTGGGAGCCTTGTGGAACCTATTGGGGGGGCCTCTTGGGGGCCTCCTGGGGCCTCCTCGGGGCCCCTCGGGTCCGAGGGCTCGAAATGTCCGTTTGGGTTTCCCATCTGGGCCTCCTCTTGGGGCTGTCTTTGGGCCCTCTTGGGCCGTATTGGGCGCCTCTTGGGCCGCCTTGGGGCCCTCTTGGGAGCTTCTGGGACCATCTTTAGGGCGATCTTGGGGGCCTCGTGGGCCGTGGGCCGCCTCGGAGCGTCGGAAAGCCGAAAAGGCGAGAATGCCAAACACTTTCAAAAACCGAAGGCTTGGGGCACTCTTGGGACGCCACTTGGCACACTCTGTGGACGACTTCGGGGCCTCTTGCGCCGTGCTGAGGCCATCTTGAGCATATGGGGCACTCTTGGGCCTTCTCGGAGGCACCTTCGGCCCTCTTGGGCGCTTTTTGGGCCCATGTTTGGCCGGCTGCGCTACTGGAGGACGCGCGCGACGCGCCCGGGAAATCCCGGGGAATCCCCAGAAATCTTCAGAAATCCCAAGAAATCTGTGTGAAACTATGGCCCAGGCCCTTAACCTGATGAAGCCCTACAAATCTGAACTTCTCAGGGCTGAGTGAGCCTTGGGGCACTCCACTGCGTGCTGCAGGCACGGTGGCGGATACGCTAGGCTCGGGCACATGCAAAACGCAAGCGCCAATGCACGCGATGGTCCTAGGCCGACAAATCTGCAGACAAGAGTCACCATTGGCGGCAGAATACCCTACATGGTTCACTCATGTACCTAAGGGGTACAGAGAGTATTGTATATATTGAAGGACTACTACACGTATTATCCGAGAGAGTCCTCAATGGATGCCATAAGGAACTCGAAAGGGGAGGCCATAAGGAAGACCATAAGAAAGGCCATAAGGAAGACCATAAGGGAGACCATAGGGAGAACATAAGGGAGACCGTACGGGAAACCATAAGGGAGACCGTGCGGGACATCATTAAGGGGAACTGTGAGGGAGGCCATGCGGAGACCATACGGGAGACCATATTGAAGATCAGACGGGTGACCACGAGCCTCCGATTCCATATCTAGAACCGCTCACACCTGGCCTCTGAGAAGTGTTGTGCAGGACCCGTGCAAAACAAGATTCGTCATGCTGAAGCCCCAAAGTCAAGCTGTTCAGGGAACGGCCGACATCATTCCACCACATCATGAAAGCGAGATGCCACTCGAGGCACGGAGACGTCAAGCCTCCTCGGGGGTGCCCGACAGAAGGGTTTTGCAGTCTGCCGAGCAGGGGCGTGTCGAGAGTGGGCAAGGGCCTCTCAGGAGGCAGCTTGTGGCGGTGGTGACGAGAAGGATGCACAGTGTGAGGCAGACATGTCAGGGAAAGTCTGGTGGTAATTCGATTGGCGCTCTTGGAAGCACTACCAGCATCACAACTACCTTTTCGGAGGAGGTATCGCTTGGAAGGGGAAAGGAAGCAGGGAAGCGCCTTTGAAGGAACGGGAAGGTCCTATAATGAGGCGGGGGCTGGAGGGGGATGGGAGGAGGAGGAGGAGGAGGAGGAGGAGGAGGAGGAGGAGGAGGAGGAGGAGAATGATGAGGAGGAGGAGGAGGAGGAGGAGGAGGAACAGGGCCTCGTAGGGCAGGGGTTGCCACGACGATCCTGCCTGGAAGGCAGCTGGCAGCAGGATCCTTTGCCTCTGGAGGAAGGGAGGGCCTGCACGGGCTGACTTAGCTTTGTGGCTGCGGGGGACCAGCAAGGAGAGGATGGGAGATCCAGTGGGATTGAAAGGAATATGAAGAGAATGGAGTGGGGTTCGGAGAAATGTTCAGGGAATGGATATGCTGGAGAAGGAATTGAAGGAATAGTTGAGTTGGAATGTCGAGGAGCAGCGGCAAGAGAAGCATGAGAAGGCGGCGAGGGAGCTGTATGTTGCGAGATCGCCCGCACGGGTGTGGCAGCCGAGGTGATGGCAGAGCGCGGGACAATAGTGGTCCAGTGACTTAGGCTGCTATGTTTCAGACTGTTCCGAGGAAGCATGCACGACGTAAACATAAGCTTTCGGAGGTCCGCGCGGACTTTGGACCTGCGCTAGGCTCCCCCTGGCGACGCCTCCAGGGCGGCCCCTGGCTCGCTCCGCGCGCCAGTGCGAGCGCCGATCCAATCAATCCGCGCGGAGCTCCGAAAGCTGTTATTTATGATGTGTTTTTTTCCTGTGCTGGGTTTTGGGACTGGCGCCCCCTGTCGGCTCCTGCATTGCAAATCGCAGTGGACAGGCTTGCCTCTCTCCCGTCCGGATCCCAGAGTCTCCTATCGCTCATTCATTTGGTTTAAGCAAACATTGATATTCTGCGTGCTGGAATCTTGTATTACATTTGTCCTGCTACTACGTCTTTACGCGGCTCCCAGATCTTGACTTTGACAGTCTGTTTGCCAGGATGGGCTCAGTGACCGACTTTACGATGCGCTTTGCTGCGGACTTATGCACATACAGCTTAAGTGATTCATTGCATGCTGTTATTGGTTCGTGCTGAGTGCGCGCACACACATATATATATATATATTCATATGTATATGCATACGTATATGTTTGTGCATACTAATGTATATGTCTATGTACATGTGCATGTACACGTATGTGTATATTCATATGTATAGGTATATGCATATGCATATGTTTATGAACATGTATATGCATATGTAGATGTAGGTGTACATGTATTTGTCTATGTGTATGTATATGTAGATGTATATGTAGATGTAGATGTAGATGTATATGTAGATGTAGATATAGATGAAGGTGTAGGTGCATATGTAGATGTAGATGTAGCTGTAGCTGTAGATGTAGATGTAGGTGTCGGTGTAGATGTAGATGTAGATGTAGATGTGTACGCATATGTATTTGTACATGTATATGTATGTATATGTACTTGTATGTGCAAACGTATTTGCGTATGTGTATGTATTTGTATGTGCATATGTATATGTATACGTACATTGCCCCATCAACCAGGGTTTCCAGTTCGAGCTGGCGCCGAAGACGCGATTTGAAGACGCTATTCCCTGTGACGACGCGTTCCTGTGAAGACGCTACTCCTTGTGACGACGCGATTCCCGGTGAAGACGGTGAACACGCTATCCCTGGTGAAACGCAATTGACGACGCTATTCCCAGTGAAGACGCTATCCCCTGTGAAGGGGCGTTCTGCGGACACAGACAGCACTTCCCCCATGAAGACGCTATTCCCGGTGAAAACGCTATTCCCAGTGAAGACGCTATTCCCTGTGAAGACGCTTTTCCCAGTGAAAACGCGACTCGCCGTGAAGACGCTATTCTGTGTGAAGACGCTATTCTGTGTGAAGACGCTGTTCCAGGTGAAGACGCTATTCTGGGTGAAGACGCTATTCCAAGTGAAGACTTATATTCAGGATGAAGGCGCTATTCCGGGTAACGCTATTCCGGGTGAAGACGCTATTCTTTGTGAAGACGCTATTCCCAGTGAAGACGCTATTCCCGGTGAAGACGCTAGTCCAGGTGAAGACATTACGCATCTGAAGACGCTATTCCCGGTGAAGACGCTATTCCCGGTGAAGACGCTATTCCGGGTGAAGACGACATCCCCGGTGAACGCATTATATTCCCGGTGAAGACGCTGTTCTGGGTGAAGACTCTACTCCCGTTGAAGACGCTATTCTATGTGAGGACGCTATTCCGTGTGAAGACGCTATTCCGGGTGAAGACGCTATTCCCAGTGAAGGCGCTATTCCCGGTGAACACGCTATTCCCGGTGAA